CTCAACTCCAGATCCTGTCCTAAAGCCAGTTTGAAATGGATCTAGATAGTCAGTTTCTTTCAAGACAGCTTGGAGTTGAAGAGCAACAGCCCTCTCAATCACTTTGCTCAGAAAAGGTAGTAAAGAAACTGGCCTATAGCTGTTCATGTCCAGGTAAGGTCTCAACAAACCCCTCAAAAGACTGCAAAGCTGCAAAGCCTTGTGCTGGATGAAAATGTTCATAATTAGATTAATGAAGTTGTTGCTCATTAAAAATATAGTTTGGTGGGCTGCAGAATCAGTCTTTTCACATGCTAGCCAATAGGCAGCTGAAACTAACAGGTTCTAATTACCAATGATCGTTTTTAAGAAATAACTCATTGTTGTTATTTATTATAATGTAAAAAAAAGTAGTTATAGCAGTATTTGTTGTGTTGCTTATTCCTTTTTTATTGCTGGTGGAGGAGGGAATGGAACCTTTTAGGGTTGATAAAAGAATGTCAAGAACCAACAAATCAAAATGACTTGGAGCTGGACCCCTAAAAGTAACTTGTGTATGTGTCTTCAAGTCACTTGTTGATTTATGGAAACCCCAATAATTTTATAGAATTTTCTGAGGCAAGGAATCCTCAGAGGTGGTTTTTCCAGTTCTTTCCTCTGAAATGCAGCCTACAGCACTTGGTATTCATTAGCGGTCTCCTATCCAAATACTAACCAGGGTTGATCCTGCTTAGCTTCCAAGATTAGACAGGATTTGGTGACTTAGGGTATATAGAAAACATTACTCATTGCACCAGCAACGTCCTTCCATTCCCACTCCTTATTTTTACTTAATAAATGTGGCTTCATTGCAATTTGACTGGTTCCTAAAATTAACTCATTACAGGTAACACAATTACTTATCACTCATTCTAACCAATTTCTGGTTAGAATGGATCGTATTCTAGTTTGTTGGCACAGTGTTGCCATGTTTCAGCCCAGATATGAGGAAAGGTTATCTCAGTGAAACAAAACTCTCTTTTTAAAATTGCATGGGCAAGAAATCTAAAAGTATTCCTCTAAAAGAGACAAAATCAGATTTTATGCACATTTGGCTTAATTCTAAATGTTCCCATTTATTTGAATGTAAGAGTTAATTTCTCTGAAATTAGACCCAAAATTGTTGAACCAATTGGCCCCCTGGCTCCAGCCTTTTTTGGTTGTTCATCAACCCTTCAGCAGCTTCCAGAAAAGAAGCCTGTTGTTGATTAAACCCAGGCTCTCTTGTGCAAACAGTCGGAAACTTCTCTTGGATTTTCTCACTTGCGGGACTCAGACTGCGATCCCACTGGCTTCGCTCTCTCCAGAACAATCCTTGAAAAATCACTTTTAAAAAATTCTGGACAAAAGATCTTGCTTGGTTTTTGCAGCTGCCTCACCAACATGGAAAGAGTAGCAGAACTGAAGGTAAGGTTTCCATGAGAGCTTGGAGCCTCTGGTTCAAAATGACCTCCAAAAATTCTTCCCAGTGGACTTCGAACAGTCATTCGCTCTAATAGAGTAATAAAAGGATTTTTTCCTGGGGTTTTGGAGGAGGGGAAACCTTTCTTATTTGGAAGCCTGGCTCCAAAATGCTTTCAGTGTGTGGATGGAAACCAGCACCAGATGTTTCTTCAGGAGCCTTGAATGCTGTTTTGTGTGATGGTGGGGAGGGAAGTCTTTGGGGCCAGAAAAATCCTGTTATTTGCCTTAGACTGAGAGTCTCTTTTTATTTTAGTTTACTTCTGTTCTGTTCTCCTCTATCTGTTTATTTTTAATATATATAAATTACTCTTTGTTTGTGCACCAGCGTGGCGTAGTGGTTTGAGTGTTGGACTACAAATCTGGAGTCCAGGGTCTGATTCCTGGCTCAGCCATGAAATCCATTAGATGACCTTGAGCAAGTCATACTTTCTCAGCCTCAGGAAAGCAATGGCAAACCTCCTGTGAACAAATCTTGCCAAGAAAACCACAGGATAGGTTCACCTTAGTGTCGCCATAAGTCAGAAACAACTTGAAGGCAGACAACACACACACACTTCATCAGTGTGCACACTGCTTTTTAAAAACATAAATGTGATATAAATT